TTTGGTGGGCCTGGGCTGGATTCGAACCTGCCACCTTAGGTGTATGTGGCTGGTGCCTTAGCCACTTGAGCCACAGGTGCCAAGCCTGAATACCTGGTCTTCATCAAAGCAAATATAGGTTTTATCAGCTCCTTCATAACTAGTTTACACGCTAACCTGATTGTTTAGTAAAGATCAAACATACATGGTCAAAACTGTCTTCATCATTCCTGTTCCATGCCCTTAACTCACATGCGTGTGCCAATGTACATGGAGCAGCAGTGACTCCGGGCAGGGTGGGGTTAGTGAAAGTTTGCTAAGGGCCCCAAGTGCCACAGAGCTATTGATAATGTGTCTTCTAGGGTCACAGCCAGAGTGGTCCTTCAGGGTCAGCCACCAACCCCTGGGGCAAGTCCAAGAGGGGCCTGCCTAACACAGATTCTTCTCACCTGCCCAGCAGTCCAGTCTGGGACAGCACTGCCTGTGTTCCCACCTATGACAGGATTCATCCTGCAGCACCTCTGGGCCTGGGCTGTGGATCCCAGTACTGGTTGGTTAGGCTGAGATGATTACAGCAGGAACCTCAGCCTCGTTATTTCCCTTCTAGCCTGCCCTTGATGCAGCTATAAATCATAGCTGTGACATAGAGTGGCAGCTCTCAAGACGAAAGGGTGTTCAAAATTAATGCAAGTAATTGCTTGGTGGCAAGCATGAAGGGAAGGGATACGTTGCCTGTGTGAACAGATATCCTCACTACGTACCTGAACAGTGCCCGGCTGGGGCTGTGACAAACCAGTCCTTTCCCTTAACCCCCTTCTAAGCAAGTTCTCAGAGATAGCCTTTCACTTCTCTGGGCATATTTCGCAAAGCCTCAGTCTCTTGGCACTGCTGCCCCCTGAACATCAGGAAATGCCCTGGGGATTCTGAAGCAGGTCAGGACTGGGGTCTGAGATTCTTCATTCTAGTAAGATAATGTTGCTGCCACTGGTCCTTGGACCACTCTTTTGAGTAGCATGGCCTTTGAGTCTGGTGTTCTCTAGTCATGTGT